AGTTTCGTCTCAGGATACCAAATCATGCTCGAGGTCAATGTACCGTACAGCAAAGCGCAGCGCTGATAGTTCATGATACTTGTAGATGGGCACTTTTAGGGTGTAAAATTCAAGGGCTCTTGCGCGAGACTCGGCGCAGACGTTGAGAGCAATCGGATTTCGCTGAGGTGACCAGGCGGAGACCAGAGATGTTGTCTTATTGCCGATACCAATCCTTAGGAGCTTAGGCTCCATCGTAGCCTCCCAAATCTGGAGGCGTATCTCTTTGGGCAGAGTTGCGAACCGCGGAAAGCCTTGCTCGCACATCTGCATGTCCTAATGCGGGCAGAGTTTAGGGAGGTGTTGTCAAAATCATTGCAGCTACTTCGCTATCAATTGCCGGATGCTGGGCTTCGAACAACGTTTTAGAAGACCATATTTTTACGGCTGCCTAAAGCGAATACGCACTCACGCACCCTAGATCTACCTAGGTACTAGCAACCCACCTACCTGGACGAACATCCCGCGAAATAGAAGATACCCATCGTTGTGTGGAGTTAAGAAGTTTAAAGCCTTTAGCTCCATGATATGGCCACAAGTACTTGAATTCATTGAATCGTAACTCCGCATCTGTCAACAAACGCAAGTCATGCCAAAATACAGTAAGCTTAATTCCTTAGATAGCTATTGAATTGTCAGTCACCGCAGCCACCGATCGTGAAATGGCGCCACACTCCTCTACTTGGTCAATCACAGGAGCATCATCAGGACTAGGTAGATCCTTGGCTCTGGGTGCTCTTAAGGCTGGAAATAAGGTCATTGGAACCACGCGCGATGTTAGAAAAGCTGAAGTTTCTTGTCCCGAGTTTTCTGCTCAAGGTGGAATCTGGATGAGCCTGGACCCTAGACAAAAGGATGCCTTTGGTCAAGTTCTCAAGTGCTCTCAAGAACATGATGTGGATGTACTTGTCAACAATGCAGGTTATGCCTTCATTGGTGGTGTTGAAGACACAAGGTGAGCATTTCGCCCCACACGATCTGATCGATTTCGGAAGTTGCTCACTCAAGGGCGTATACCAGTGAGGATGAGGTTCGCGATCAAATGGAAGTCAACCTCTACGGACCGCTTCGTATTCTCCGGGCCTGTCTCCCTGCCATGCGTGCAAAAGGATCGGGTCACATCATCCTTATGAGCAGCGGCGCCGGGTATGCGAACCCTGTAAATTCTTCACAATTTCTAGGTAAGCCTACTAACTGAGCGAAGGTTTGAGGCGCGCCCCGGGCGCGCGACATATGCTGCGAGTAAATTTGCTATTGAGGCATTTCACGAGTCACTTTCGCATGAGGTCAAGAACTTTGGCATAAAAGTTCTCATCGTGGAGCCGGGTGCATTTCGTACGCCCTTCTCGAGTAGAATCATTACTCCGGCCCAGTACGATGGTAGTAACGGTTTTAGCGAAGCGTACAAGGGTTCTGCAGTCGAGCAGATGGTTGGCGCATCACGGAATATCACCTCTGTGCCTGATTTTGTGAAAGGAGACCCAGATAAAGCTGCAAATGCCGTCATTGATTCCGTTCGAGATGGATACGAGTATCTTCGTTTGCCTCTAGGACCGGATTGTATAGCAGCATTGGAGCGCAAAATCGGAGTATTGCAACATGATCTAGAAGCTACCAGATCAATTGCCTTAGCTACAGATATTGACTAAAATGATACAGTATTACATGGAGAATTAGAGCTGAAATACGTTTTAAGGGTAGCTTCAATATCAGAAGGTTGCGATTGTGGGTTTCTGCTATGCTAAGAAGTCGAAACTGCTCTTCCAGGAAGGCATCAGGGATAATCGCCAGACGACAAAGATCTTGGTAATGATCAAATTCCCAATATCTAGACCCGCGAAGCTGCATAACTCACTGTCCCAAATTTCTTGGGGGTGTAGTAGCTGGACCTTCCGGAGTAACATACGCTTTCGTCAAGCCACCGTCAACAACGAAATCTGTAGCATTCACAAAACTGCTTTCATCAGAAGCAAGGAATATGACCGCTTGTGCTTGTTCAATTGCCTCGCCAAATCTGCCCGTAGGGAAGTGGACTTCTCTCCTAAATCGCTTTGGTTGATCATCTCCTAGGAAATCCTGGAGCATAGGTGTACTTGGCGAGCATCAGTGTCTAAACTTCAGATAAAGAGGTTACTGTCAAGGGGTGCTTACTTGAGCGGTGCAGGGCACAGAGAATTGAACCGAAAACCTAGATATCACCACAAGTCAATGCCCGTGAACAACTTACTCGTGCTTAATTGCAGTCTCCTTACCTTCTCGCGCATGCACTATCGCCAATTCTCGCGTCAACGCAAGAACAGCTCCTTTACTAGCAGTATACGCCAATTGTGGAGTCGCAGAGCCGACGATAGCAACCATACTTCCGGTGTTGATGATGCTACCTTTCGTTTTCTTGTGTTTCCGGAGTGACTTCACCGCATGCTTGGACCCATACCAAACACCCTTCACATTGATGCTCATAGTCAAGTCCCAGATGTTATCAGGGCACTCTTCTGCATCACCGTCTTTTGGATGCATGATCCCAGCATTGTTGAACATGACATCTACGCCTCCCCAGCTGTCAAGATGGTCTACTGCCGCGGCCACATCAGCTTCCCTTGAGACATCTACCACAAAGGTTTCAAGTTTGCCGTTGAAAGTTGGAACAACTTCTTTGACCTTGTTCAGTGCTTTCTCAAGACCAGCAGCATTAAGATCGGTCATGAGAACAGAAGCACCCTCTCGAACCATCAATATGGCGGTCTCTAAACCAATTCCTCTAGTGGAAAAATCATATGAGTTTGAAGGTCAAGACCTTATGAAAGCACGGAACTCACCCAGCAGCCCCGGTCACAATCGCATTCTTTCCAGCTAGACGTCCACCCATTGTAAATATCCTTGTCGAGCCGTCCCTGAAGAGCTTCTTAGTTGACAGAACGTTGTTATCTTGTCGAGCTTTAGACCTTGATAAAACATCTATATATAGATAATAGATCGTGATTTTATTGCTCGGTTCAGCTCCGATCGGAGCGAATACTCTCTTCTGTCACGAATGGACTCCAATGGATGGAGCCATGCGGCAACAACAGCGGGGCCATCGTGACACTCAAATACCGTCGGAGCAGAGTCCGATCGGCCTCCGCAACTAGTCCATGTGCTTTTCCAGTATGCTCGTGTCGTACAAGATTCAGGAGTGTACAGTAGTTATTGCAGATTGCAGACACAGTTATTCGCCGTTCTTGCGTAGACCAGCGACGAACAGTATTCGAGTCAATTTCTGAGATATTTAGGCACAAGAAACCTTAGCTGATGATAAATTTCTGAGTGACGTGATATCTAATAATATGAAATCTATTAACGCCGAGGCTATCTACACTTGATTCTCCCGAATATGATAGCTCTTCAGCTTTACAAAAGCGTCGTAAGCACGAGGGCCTAGAGTACATCCAAGGCCAGAGTTCTTCCAACCAGTCCAAGCCAGATCCTAGTAGTAAAACATCAGTATAGGAGAAATTGAAATATCAAAACAAATTTGAACATACTGGGTTAGGGTAATCGCATCTGTTCACAAAGACGGTGCCGGCCTCAAGCAGCTCAATGATCTCAGAACCGCTGTCGATATCTTTGGTCCAGACACTAGCCGTCAATCCGTACTCGCTGTCATTCATGAGAGAAACTGCTTCCTCATCGCTGTGAACTTTTTGGACAGGGATTATGGGACCAAATGTTTCGTCTTTCATGACGAACATATCATGGCTTACGTTAACTAATATTCGAGGAGCAACGTAATTTCCATGGGCAGAGGCATTTTGGAAGCTTGCATTCGTGGGCGTCACGTCCATTGCACCTTTTGCCAAAGCGTCCTCGACATGCGTGTTGATTAGCTTCTGTGCTGCTCGTGATATTACGGGCCCAACATTTGTTTCCGAGTCAAAGGGATCGCCGAGCTTGTAACTTGAAGAATGGTTAGCTATACGCCAACAGACTGCTTTAAGCACTACTCACCCTTCGAGCTCCTTCTGAAGCTCACTCACGAAGTCATCGTAGACATCGGCATGCACATATATTCTTTCAACTGCGCAACAACTCTGTCCAGAGTTGAAAATGGCACCATCAACCAGCTGCGCAGCCACATACTTCAAGTCTGCATCAGGGCGAACATATGCGGGATCGTTACCGCCGAGCTCGAGATTCGTCCCAATGAATCGATTGGCGGCTGCCTTACGAATAGCAAGTCCGCCTGCAGTTGAACCGGTGAAGCCAACCAGTTTTATCTCTGGAATCTGTACAAGCTCCTGCAACATTGCTGGGTCACCAGACTGAACAACCTGAAGGACATCCGAAGGCAAGCCAGCCTCTACGAAGATCTCAGCAATACGCGTCCCGATAAGCGGTGTTTGTGGTGAGGGCTTAAGGATCACGGTGTTCCCTGCTAGAAGCGCCGGAATAAGAGCGTTGACGATGATGAGATAGGGGAACTTGTTCAGTGTTAGAATGTTCTTATTTCCGTGCATTTATGCAAGACGAAAGCCCAAATGCTTACATTCCAAGCGAAGATGACGAGAGTTGGCCCAACTGGCTCTTTTTTGATCCATCGGCGAAACCCATCCTCAGGACGACCAGGGATATCTTCGAGGGACTCTGCTGCGATATCCATCAGATAGTCAGCGCGCTTTTGCATTGTCTCAATCTCCTTATGGCTATACGCAATCGGCCGGCCCATCTGCATAGTCAACTCCTTACCAAGCTCGAATTTACGTTCTTGGATGATCTGCAAAGCATGCTTGACAATGCCCATGCGCTCTTCTAGCGATATAGCTTTGAATGATAGAAAAGCATCCTGGGACTTCCTGGCAATCTGCCGAGCCTCATCAAGAGTGATGCTTGGGCACTCGCACACGACCTCGTTGGTCGAGGGCGATATCGTGCGAATGGTCGTCATCTCGCTATTGATTTGTTAAATCACTTTTGTCATTGATCTAGCCAGAACTCAAGCTAAGACTGAAGATATCCCTGCATACTAGATTATATAATAAGGTGTAGGTGCTTATTCTAAGCGACACCGCTTATGCGAAGGAGTTGCAATTCAGGGACCGGAAGATCGTCCATCCAAGGCTATTTTCCACGTGGATCGCAAAGCTCGGTACCGTATCTCTTGAGCTGTATGTAGCCTCCTACCTGCAACGGAAGACTCGGAGCGCGTTGAAATGGTAACGTGCGAGACAGCAGCGGACAATTGTCCGCTAATGCGCAACTTTTGACAAGCCGGATTCTCCCCGTGATAGCCTGTCTCCGTTTCATTACAGCTATGGGTCGTTAATAGTGGACCAACGTACAACGATAACACCAATCTAACTCAATTCTACAGTACGTCTACACCAGGTGAGCCGATAATTATGCAATCTCGTTATCGCCTTGCTATCCTTGAGTGCGACACACCGCCACTGGTATTAAACAGATGTTTGGTAGTTACGGCGACCTTTGCAAAACACTCTTGGTAAAGGGCCTCAAATCGCGTCCATCAGGCTACGACACCAAACTTGTTGTGAGTAACTGGGACGTGGTGAATGCAAGATCTTACCGTCAATGAATGACATTGATTGCATACTTCTGACAGGGCTTAGTAAGAAAAAGCCCGCACCATAATCCTGTTACCAGCTTTGTTCGACGAGCTACTTTCCTGGAACACAATGCATTTAATAACGATAAATGCATAATACAACTTATCGACTTTGTACATAGTAGAGGCGGGTCACTTTTTCGACTGCGCTTGCAAACATACGTTGTGGGTATGGGCGAACTTGACCTCAGTCGCTCTGACTACACGGCTGCTCGTGCCCGGGGCAAATATGATGAGGATCGAGGATATGCTTCGAGGAGCAGCAGCTA